CTGTCTACTATTCCAGCACTTTTGGCTGGCGTACTGCCCATTATAGCTCTCAAATAAGGAGACATTCAGATTCCCATGTTGACCTCACAAAAACAGGGTGAGAAGGCACACACTCGAGCGTAAACCTGAAGTTGACCTGACGTGGAAGGAACCATTTAAAGCGGAAGTTTTAAGCACGTAGGACTTCTGCATCGACAGATGACTCAAACGCAAGAGGACTTCGGATGAAAAAATACGGATATAGGCGTGGAGTTTAGGATACTTTGAGTGATATCAGTTTACAAGCAATTTGAAACAAAAACCTACGAACCTATTGGGGTACAACCAGTTTCTCTAATCTGACAATTGTTGCGCACGATTCCGTTGTATCATCCCTAATGCACCTCGGAGAGTGAACACATTCTGAGAAAAATCAGTAAACAAGTGAACTTAAGCGTTCAAGAGAAGCCATGAGACTATGAAGTGGTTGCCTGTGGACAATGTACCAATGCGCTCCTAATATTAAGAAAAGCCGATGAAGCAATGCAGGTTTGAATGAGGGATAATTAGGCTTCAGAGCTAAATGGAACCGAATCTGTCAAGCAGAACGAACGAGCTTTTGATCCAAACACCTTCAAATGATATGACCAAATATAGCGATTATAAGGTTGGTGGAAACTCGATAGCCTTCTGGGCAGTATACTGTTACAATGCAAATTAATTCGATGATCCGAAAGCAATGACTAGCAGATTCAGTCGAGGAATACCATAAACAGTATTCAGTTGAGCCTCATTTTAACGCCACCGCAGTTCGCAAACAAGCAGTTACACCTTCAAATACAGTTAGATATGCAGCAGGACATGTTTACGACTGGGGAATGAAGCCCAAACTCCCACGGATGGTTAATGAGATATCCACGAGTGTGTTTTATGAACTAGTCCATGAACAGAGGTCACATCATTCTGGGACCGGGGTCCGACGCCAGTGAGTGTGCGTGCGTGCTGGCAATCCGGATTGGTTGAAGGACTACACGACTTGCAATTTCCACCTAGATTATTGAGACCAGACCTACTCCTCACCATCTGTCACCAAGCTTTTTAGTCTAAATGAAAACGGAAAGTGCTGTCTGTAGGCTGACGATAAAAAGCGACACACTATGCCTGTAAGCTCCTGCAGTCGGACTATTTGTACGGCTCCGAAAAATTCGTTTTCAAATTTCTGTGGCTCGGAAAAGTAACCTGAGAGTGAAATAAACACCAAATGATACAACGAGACCAAAAATTGGGGGAACGAAGTCGAAGGTGATCATCGGAAAGGTTGTTATCGACGGGATGTGAACTATCGTTTAGTAGAGGAACGTTCATGTTTTCACAGAGGGGGTAAATGAAGTGGCGAAAATCCGGACTATCGAGAGTAACAGCACACATGCACAAGGGAATACTTACTGCTTCGTACAGATACTGTGGAATCTGAGTAGTTTTTCCGGACCCTGTTTCGCCCTCGATAATGAGCACCTGATGATCAGCGATTGCTTGCAGCAACGCTTCTCGAAATTTGTAGATGGGGAGCGAACGCCTTGCTTCAGCGAGAGTTTCGCGGCGACTGACCGATTTTGTTTTCTTTTCTTCAGAAACGGGTTCCTCTTCCGTATTGGCTCCTGGACGAGTCAATGTCTTCAAAAAGTCAATTTCGTCGTCCAGTACAAGATCAAACTTTGCCTAAAGGCGGGAAAGTCAGATTAGTCAAATTCACGAGAAGGGCTTTGAAAGGGTAGATAACTGCTCTCTCCTTAATTTGATGCTTCCTGGTGGGTTGATATAAATTCTTTGCATCTTCTTTGCATCCTACAGGGACTCATCAGGTGAATGTTGTACAAAAACTCATACCAATCTTATCTCATAATTGAACATTGAATTGGATGTAAGTTAAACGTACATTTGCAAACTAAGGGAGATCAAACGAGGCCCCAGCTATTATAACTAAACACAAGTGCGGAAACTGTGTAGTTTATACGGAGGGTATCGTAATGCGTTTTGCCCATAGATTATGGACAGTACCAGTTCTATGCGCTTGGGAACAGGTGAATCCAAAATGATAAATGCGCGCAGGACAACGTACAGCCAGAGATGAAGGATGGGAGATGGAACATTGAGCGTGCAGTTAGCTGGTTCACATTAGTGAAAGAACCGTTAAGGGCTATGTTCATTCAGCTACAGTATTCTTCCCGTGCCTAAGTGCCATACCATCAGAAGGAAGCACGAGGGCTGGCATACTGCCAGGTTGCCCAAGCCTAGACAGGGGAAGTCGAGAGGCAGAGGTCTGGTTCGAACCACGGACCTTCCCGTCAGTAAATTTGAGCTCTAACCACTTGGGCTATCT